CCGGTGCCCGGGGTGTTAAATCCCCGTCCATTATGCGGGTGTTTTGCCATTACGCGGGTGTTTTGTGCTCCCATTGTGCTGCGCCCGCCCCGTCCCTCCGCATTAACATCTAAACAGGGCTCTGCTATTCAGCCCCGAGCTCCGGGGCCTCCCCGATCCCGATTTTCCACCGGAGCAGCCGCCCGGAGCCGCCCGGCGCTCCGGGAGGAGGAGCGTCCTCCGCCAAGGCCTTCCCGGCCGCGTTTCCGTCGGGAAGGCGAGCGCCGAGGCCCGGCCTTCGCCCCGAGGCCGCAGGGAAAAACATCCCCTCCCTGATGGGAAAAACCCGGGAGAGCCGGGCTGGGAGCAGCCGGGCTGAAACAGCCTCGTTTGGGAAAACCGAGCGGGAAACCCGGGGAAAAGCCCCCAAAACGGCCGCGAAAAGGAGCCGCCGTCGGCAGCTGCCGCCCGGGACACGCGGCCCCCGGGAGGCTGCCCGCGGATTAAATTCCCCGACGTGGAGCAGAATTAAGTCCCTGCCATCTGCTAACGTCGGGGGATAGAGCAAAACAAACAAGCGGCGGGGGAGAGCCAGCAGGCCCCACGATTTGGCCGGAAAAAGGAAGTTTTTGGACGCCAGCAACGCGTTTTTGGACGCCAGCAACGTGTTTTTGGAGCGCCCAGCGGCCTCGGGGGCAGCAGGGAGACGTGACCCAGCGGGAGGTGCCCCTGGTGCTGCGCGAATATCTGCACAAGGTGCCCAAAAAAACCCAAAAAGGGGAGTTTTTGCTCTCGGATGAAGGCCAGGATGCGGATCGCAGTGGAAAAGGGGCTTCCTCCCCAAACGCTGGACCGAGAATGTCCCGATTCGGAACGGAGGAGCAGGTTGCTCCGAGGTGACGCCGGGTCCAAAGGTGAGCGCCGACGTTCCCGGAGCCGCCGTCCATCATCCTCGGCCCGCTCCTGCCCGGATGCTTTTCCCAAGGCCGTCGGGATGCTCGTGGCCGGGAACAGGGAACATCCCTCACCAGGATCCTCGTCTCGCTGCCGATGCGGTTCCTCCGTCCTCCGCAGGGAATCGAGGCCCCGGGAAGCCGCGATTCCGAAATGCGCCGCTCAAAATTCCAACAAACCTCAGCGCCGACGTGCGGGAGCTTTGGCTCCGCTCCCCTTTTAGGGACAGCCTCCGACTTGAAGCAAAACTCGGGATAATCCCAGCGCCCCTGGGAGGACGGTGACACACGGCCAGGCCGGGAATTCCGGGATTTTGGTGGGTAGAGAGCAGGAAAAGGGAGCAGCGAGGAAAGGGGAGCGACTCCTGCCACCAAAGCGACCTCGTTCTCCCAATCGAAACCAAGAGGCTCCTTAGGACGAAGCGCCCGACTTCCCCGCGCGACGTCCAGCCCGGCCAGGGCTGCTCTTCCTCCTCCTCCTCCTCCTCGGCCCTTTGGGGAGAAGCTCCGGCTTTGGGCTCCTCTCCCTGTCCCCTTCCCAGCCCCGGACACCAGGAAAGCGGGAAAGCCCCGGAGCTGCTCCCGGGTGTCCCCAGGGAGGGGGG